AAAAGGCTCACCAATCCATGTTAATCCCAAGCGGGACCCTCCATGGATTAGCGGTTTTCATAAAAAGGAAGGGTTCATGGAGTCGCCACCAATGTTTTACTCAAAACATTGGAAAAAGAAGTTTAAGGCAATCGATTCAAAAATCGACTTCGGCCATGACAACCAGAGTCGGGTAAGGGAGTCGGTTACGCGTGGGGAAGGTGTTAGCACCCCACAGCGCCCCTTTCGGGTTCCCTATGACAGATTATTTCTAAAAATAATAGTGCGAAATTACTAAATTACCCCTATTTATTCTAAACAATTATAAATTAACTATCTACATGATGACAGTTTAAATATGTACACACAGAAAGCGGTAAAAGAAGGGACTTTAAAGAGATAAACCTTTGAAGCGTGCTTTCTTATATATCTTGACAGAAATTGGGAAGCGTTTTGGCGTTCCCTCCCTCTACAAGACCGCTCGCTCCCTCCTATAAAATTTTAACTATGGAAATCCGGAGGATTTCCCTTCGACTAAGTTCGAGACTCAAGCAAATGGCTCGTGACTCAAGAACTTCGTCGGATCAACTCTCCGAGTGATTTCTAGGCAGAGCACTGCTCAAAAAAACCCAGAATACTCAAGAAGAGGGTTAAAACTCAGTGTAAAAGTGTAGAATGACGTCCAATTGACGTCATATTTATAGGGATGAGGCGCAATACGGCCTCTGGGGGTCAATACGGTCCGTATTGAAGTTTTGAACTACAATACGGCCGTATTGAATTCAGTACGGCCGTATTGAAGTTCAAAAAACCTCAATACGGCCGTATTGAGTTCAGTGCAGCCGTATTGAAGTTCAGTGCAGCCGTATTGAGTTCAATGCAGCCGTATTGAAGTTCAGAAACTTCAATACGGCCGTATTGAGTTCAGTGCGGCCGTATTGTAGTTTAAAATGTTCAATACGGCCGTACTGAACTTTTGGGAGGCCGTATTGGGCTTCATTCCCTCCACTTTCTTATTTTTTGCTACTCTAAGACCTCTAAACCTACGAATAATCATCCTAGGGTCTTCCAGGGTCTTCCAGGAGTCCTTCCGGCTGACTTTCCTTTGGTCTTCGAGAGTCTTCGAGTCTTATTTCCGACCCGGACAATTTTAGGGGTCTACAGCCAAAAATAGACTTTATGGGTTATAAGAATTATCACCAATATTTTAATGAATTTTTGTTACATTTTTCTGTTGTTTAAATCTATCATTTGTACTTTTGTGCCTAAACTTTCCACAATAGAAGCAATTAAAATCTTCTCTTTATTAGTAATTACTACCTCATCCTTTTCTAGGTTGGTGGAGCAAAATTATTTCCACCTCTTCCTTGTTGAATAATGCTAAAGTATTATCTTGTCCTTGATTGAAATTTTCACGTCCTTTACCTATGTTCTTTTCTTGATCTCTTCCTCTAAAATTTCCTCTTTCTCCATTGTTGTAATTATCACGAGCTCTACTTTTTGCACTTTGATTAGTTTCAATAACATTGTTGATATTGATTTGACTTTTTAATGCTTCTTGATTTTCTTTTTCTGTCTTCTCCAAGATTTTGCTTACATGACTTACAATGCTTCCCTACAACTCTACTATAATCATAGTGTTTGTATCATAGGACTCAGTTGTTGTAGTCATCACATGATCAAACTTCATCAACATCGTCCAAATTTTTTATCACCACTTTATTATCAGGAATATCTTCCTCATATACTCTCATCTTATTTACGAGATCTATAACACATGAAAAATATTGTTCCATGGATCCAAAATTGGAAAATTCGTATCTTTCATATTCCCTTCACAACGATTGTAGCTTGGATTTTTTTAGCCTTCTCTACTCCTTTATATGACAACTTCAAAACATTTCAAGCTTCTTTAGAAGTTTTAGCATTTGCAATTTTGCCAAAAATAGAATAGTCTACTACTTGGTGAATCTATGACAATGTTAACTAACCTCTCCTCTTAGTAGTATCATCAGCTTCTTCTACTAATCCTGGTTCAACAAAGCTAATATCTCTCAAATGTGTTGTCATCAAAGTCTCCCAAGAGCTAAAATGTAATTTTCCATCTATCTTGAGACCAAACCAAATAATATTATAGCTAGTGATTTTATATATATATATATATATATATATATTTCTCTCTCTTAGAAATATAACAACTATATTTTTTTCACAAAGTAAGAATCCTCTTGTTTCTCACACACTCAATATTTTTTTTTACTCACACTACCATTAGGTTCTCAAGCTTTGATACCAATTATTATCAATAGCATAACAACAAATAAAACTCATTCACATGACGAAAGACAAGAGAATAGGATAAAAAGTTTTTTTTCCTTTTATATATATA